GACTAGTTTCGGGGCAGACAATTTTTCCATGGACTGGGGGGGGAGGGGGAGATGGTTTAAGTTTTGCTTGCTTGCCCACCACTGTGGTCTGGGAGTTGGAGATGCATGACCTGGGTCAGCCTCAATCCTTGCAAAGAGTCTGAAAACTAATTGCTTTCATTTTTACCTACCTGTAATGAGCTATGAGAATAACCTTGAGAAAAAAGGAGGAAGAGCTGCAACTGAACAACGGGTTAGATAAGAGAAAGGAGCAGAACTATAACCTGGGTAAGCATCTCAGATAAGACGGCCCTGAGTTCCTTTGAAGTTTAGAATAAATCAATCAAATAAGATAACGGCAGAGAGTAGGGAGGCACATTCAGACTTGCCAGATTCTGTTACTGTAACTCTATAATAAGAGTAATATTAGTATTCATATTTCTGGTTTCTTTTGTCTGGTGAACTAGATTGACTGCCTCAAAATGCTAAAAACACAATCAACTAATCAATGTCTTATCCAAATGATCTATAAAAGAGTAGCAAAACTGTCTTGACACTGGTATTAGAGAAAAAAAAATCCTCTTAGTCTCAAAAGCCAAATAAATTGCAAAAACGATAAGTGTGGTTGTGAGGGAAAACTTTCTGTCTGCCAAGCTATGACTCAATTGTTTCATTAAACTGTATCTTGCAGGCAGTGAAGGTCAAATTTATAATCTAGATATTTTTGCAATTGGATAATTTTCTAATAGTTGTATCATCATGTCATGGTTTGGTAGGGGCTGGAATGGAAAAAGGAGGAAATTAACTTTGTAAGTAATATCTCCTGGCAAGTAAGAAGAATCGATGGTAAAGCCCTGTGAAAAATGCAGAAAGAGACTAAATAAGTAAGATGTGATCATGTATGATGATCATGATGATTATTTAAACTTCTATGCTACCTGACTTTCAATAATTCTGGGCAGCTGACAACAATCAAAGATAGAAATTACAATACACTAATCATTATAAATAATAGTGGTTAAGGCAGCAGGATAGGAACTGGGAGACAGTGAGTTCTAGTCCTAAAAGTTGGCTGGGTGACTTCGGATCAATCACTAGGCAATGGTGAGTTATATTCTGCCATAGGCATGAAAGCCAACTGGGTGACTTTAGACTAGGGGTGGCAGTCTGCGGGCCAGATGCATCATGCATAGACTATGCCCACCCCAGCTCCGCAAAGGCAAAAAATATTGCGATATGTCACATGACATCATGTGAAGCAATCGAGTTTGACACCCATGCTTTACACCAATCTCCAGGATAGTGTGAGTTCTAATCCCGATTTAGGCATGAAAGCAATTGAGTGACTTTAGACCAATCGCCAGGATATTGTGAGTCCTAGTCCTGCCTTAGGGATGAAAGCCAACTGGATAACTTCAGACCAGTCACTCTCTCTCTCAGTCCAACCTGTCTCTCAAGGTTGTTGCTGTTGAGAAAATAGAAGGAAGAAGGTGTATTAGATATGTTCAACTCCTTGAAGTGTTTATAAAAAATAATAGGCATGATGTAAATTAAATAACTGAAAATAATACAAAATAGATGAGGAAAGAAGATTGCAAGAGGAAAGGAGGGAAGAGTCTTCCTTGCCAAAGGCCTTAGGGGTCTTCGGGGACCTTTTAATTTCAGAGGGACCTCATTCCAGAGGGCAGGTGCTGCTTCAAAGGAGGTGTGCTTCCAGGGTCCCAATAGATAGCATTGTTTAATCAAAGGAACCCAGAGTATACCAGCTGTGCAGGATCAAACATCTGCTGGACAGATGTTATGAGAGACAGGCAGTCCCTCAAGTAAGCAGGCCTTATGCCATGTAGACATTTATAGGTTACAGCCAACACTTGAAGGATGGGAGACATGATGGGGTGTGAGTTTCACCCAATGAAAAACAGACCATCAGTGTGTTCTGCAAAACTACAGCTTCTCAGTGAAAAAGAACAGTGTCCCTTTACTTCCAAAACATCAGGGCAGCTTCAAAAAATAAATCAGTTTAATTCTCCAAACTGGCCAACAAACCAGACTGAAACTATTTTCAAACTGTCTCAACCGGTCCTAATTGGCTAAGAATGTCAGTTGCTGAGGTCTTCGGAAGTTGGACATACATAAAGCCCAAATGGTAAATGAAGCAACCAAGGGAATACAGGTAGTCCTTGACTTATAACCACAATTGAGCCCAAAATTTCTGTTGCGAAGTGAAACATTTGTTAAGTGAGTTTTCTCCCATTTTATGACTTTTCTTGCTATGGTTGTTAAGTGAATCTCTGCAATTGTTAACTTAGTAACATGGTTGTTGAGTGAATCTGGCTTCCCCATTGACTTTGATTGTCAGAAGGTTGCAAAAGGTGATCACATGACCCTGGGACTCTGCAACCGTCATAAATATGAGTCAGTTGCCAAGCGCCTGAATTTTGATCACATGATTGTGAAGATACTGCAATGGTCATTAGGGTGAAAAATGGTCATGTCACTTTTTTCAGTGCTGTTGTAACTTTGAATGGTCACTAAATGAATTGTTGTAAGTCGACGACTAACTGTAAATGACTTTTGAGTTAAAAAAAAGAAAAGAAACACTTGTTTGATTGCCAGCCCTGTAGTTCTTCCTATGCTTTGCCAGCCCCTAGAATGAACACATACATGTGTATAGACACACATAGATGCACACATGTTTTATCTAGGCTTGCCACCATAATTCCCAAGTACCTTTTGTTTGTAACAGCAAAACATGGCTTATGTTCTTAAGAATAAATTACAGGAATTCCTCAATTTTCGGCTGGTCACTTAGCAACCGTTCAAAATTACGACGGAGCCAGGAGCCAGAAAAAGCTATTTATATGTCCAATCACACTTGGCCAATAAAAAATTCTATTCTATTCTATTCTATTCTATTCTATTCTATTCTATTCTATTCTATTCTATTCTATTCTATTCTATTCTATTCTTACAACCCAGATCCAAAATTGGCCCACATTTACAGCTGTTTCAGCATCCATACTTACAGTTGCAAGAAAAAGTATGTGAACCCCTTGGGATTACGTGGAGTTTTGCATGAATTGGTCATAAAATGTGCTCTGAACTTCATCTAAGTCGCAACAATAGAAAAACATAGTCTGCTTAAAATAATACTACACAAACATTAGATGTTGCCATGGTTTAATGGAACATTAAATGTATATGATGTTATGGCACTTCCATTTTTTTGGTAAAACATGCCCCATAGCAGGGGTGGGTTCTACTTACCTTTACTACCAGTTCGCTCGTTCACGCGCACGCTCTTCTGCACAAGCGCAGAAGCGTTTTGATGACATCAGGGGCAGTGGGCGGAGCCTCCCACCAGTTTTACTACCTGTTCTATAGAACCGGTGCGAACCGGGGGCAACCCACCACTGCCCCATAGTAAGCAATGGGATTGCTAAAAAATTGCCACATTCACTTAACAACTGCCACAAAAAGGGTCATAAAAATCAGGTGCAGGTATACGAGGATCCACTTAATGACTATCATGATTTACAGCTGTAATTTCAGGCTCAATTATAGTCATAAGCTGAGGACTACCTGCTCATAACATTTTAAAAATCTGCTACACAGATTTGTACATACAAAGCATGCACTGTAAGCATGCACAAAGCAAAGCAAGGGTAAGAGATTAAAGTAAGTGGGAGGATGTGTTATGTCTGGTCAGCTTTCTTTCAATCAAGCAATACTTGAGCTAAATGGGAATATTAAGCAATATAGCAGTTTGAGACCTAAATAGATGATGTAAATGTGCTAAAAGGATGGATACTAAGCAAGACACCATCAGCTGCAGAAAATGTTTCTGAAAATGAATTCCCGACTTCAGAGAAAAGTCAAAATCCATCCTGTCCATTATAGTCGTAACTCATGGCAGTCGATAAATGAGGCGCCCATGTGCTTGCCTTGCTTAACAATCCCTACTACAATCCCTGCTTTCCCCATAGTCATCATTCAGCGGAGCATGGGGGAGACTCTGGGTGGCCTAGGATAAACCTAGGCCCACATCGCAGTACCTCCCCTGTGGCAGAGGAAGATAGGCAGGACATTGTGGATTATCAATTGCCTAGATTTTGTTTCACCTGACCGTGGGACGGGGTTATAAGTCTCTTCACTTGTTGTCATTATTATTTTGAACAATCACTGAACAAACAATTGTAAGGACTATATATAAACCAGGGCAGCTTTGAGATATTTGGACTTCAAATCCCAGCATTCCATAACCATCATGGCCATTTATAGGGACCCTGGGGGCTGAAGTTCATACATCTCAAAGTTGCCAGGTTGGGAAACACTGAATTAAACACTGCCAATACCATCACTTGCAACCTTTTTACGAACCTGTCAGCTCTGGCACTGCTTCCCTTTCTTTAAAAACAAAAAACAAAAAACTAATTTTCCCTTCTCTACACTGCCCTTTTGAATCTCTTATCCGGTTTGCCTCAGACAAATTTCAGAATTTAGCAAATTATGAATGAGCTTTATATTATTTCTTTGGGACACATATTTGTTTTTGTTTCCGAGAGAATAAATGACAAGGGGATAACATTTAGCTGCAGCCATATATCCTGGCTTACCACAGGCGAGGCTCCAGATGGTGCCATCTCAGGCACAACCAATCTTAAAAATGTAGCTTCTATCAATGTACAAGAATTATCCCTCGAATAAAAATAGCTGTTGTCATCCGTGCCATCAACATTGCACATGACACTGTGGTGGGTGTCCAAATTTTCTTTCCAAGAATTATTCTCAAGAAGAAGAAAAAACTACAGTGAGGTTCTGGCCCAGTTATATATTAATATCTCACAGTGGCAACATGTTTGAATGGCTATGTAAGCACCTGTTTTGGAATACACTTTGGCTGCAAACAGCTCTCTCTCAGTATTCGTGTCAGTTTCGCCCCCTGTCTTTGTCATATTTTCTATTGGGATTTCTTGGAATGAGGATGTCTCTTCGTACTTCTTTTCCTTTGCACTCTACAGCATGTAAGGCTCTTGCTGATGAGTTGGAGTATGAGATCAAGAAAATTGGACCAAGAAGGACTGTAAATTCGGGGACATTTCGAATCAACCCTGATGGCACACGAGGGAAAAAAAAGGTAAGACAGACAGGAGACCAAGCTCAGTAATTGCTAGGGTGTGCAATTATCAACCACTTACCCAAACAGCAGTTGGTCTTTTAATCTTCTAACCTTTCCTGCATTAGGCCAGCAGCCACTAAATTGCTTCATTTTCCTCTGGGACTTAAAATCATCTCTAAGCTTGAAATTGAGGTACTTTTCTTTTTTTCCGGGGCCTTTTTAAAAAAATTTTTGGATGGGGACTTTTAAAAAAAATGTTGAGAATGGAGTCTTGTTGCCTTGGCAAGTTGTACTACAGAATCAGAACATAGAATCATAGGATTGGGAGGAAACCTGGAAATCTTCTAGGCAGGAGTCTTTATACCATTTCAGTCGGTTGTCCAGTCTATTTTTGAAAACTTCCAGGGATGGAGTTACCTGCAACTGTGGGAGGCAAGCTATCTCATTTTCTAATTGTTCTCTCTGTCAGGAAATTTCTCTTTAGTATCGGGTTGGATCTCTCTTTAACGAGCTTCCACTCGCTTCTGTTTGTGCTACCGTCTGGTCCTTTGGAGAATAAGTCGACTCCCTTTTCTCTGTGACAGCTCCTCCGATATTGGAAGAGTGCTATCATGACACCTCAATCCTTCTCTTCATTGGGCTAAACATACCTACTTCTTTCAATTGTTCATCATACGATTTAGCCTTCAGAACCTTTATCCATCATAATATGGGTCCATCAGAACCAAAAAGGTATCTAAGAAATGGTAAGAAGATATATCAGAATAACCAAGTTGGAAGGGACCTTGGAGGTCTTCTAGTCCAACCCCCTGCTCAAGCAGGAAATCCTATACCATGTCAGATGAATGGTTGTCCAATCTCTTCTTAAAAACCTCCATTGAACACCCACAACTTCTGGAGAGAACTCGTTCCACTGATTAATTATTCTAACTGTCAGAAATTTCTCCTTAGTTCAAGGCTGGTTCGCTCTTTGAGTAGGCAGGAACTTCACTTATATAACTGCTCATATAACTTTTCAATATCTTCTCCACTCGTGGGAGTTATCTACTTGCCTTGACCATGACATCGCATATTGTCCAGTAATTTCTTCAGTTTATTCTGGTCTCAAAGAATGGAGTTGGGGTGAGCATCTGCTGTGGGACTCCTCTGCCTTAAAGTGAAACCACGGGGGGACTGAAGGCAAATCTGCCCCAGTCATAAGCAAAATAATGAATGAGAGTATAGAACTTACACATGCTAATGAAAAGTGACTTCTGACGTACAGCTCCTTCAAGATTTCTGTGTGTCTGAATTTTGTACATGCAGATCTCTACTCAAAAGTGGGATTTAAAAAGAAGCATTTTAAAATAATATATTTCAGTAAACATACAGAACTTTCAGAAATGCATGCATTAAAATGAAATGTTTGGACATTTCTATTGTTTTCCAGGAACTGGGCAATATAGAAATATCTGCACATGAATAATGATACAGTTTTTTAAAATTTATTACATTTTTTCACCCCACCGTTATTACTTTTTATTAATAACTCAAGGTGGCAAACATATCCATCAATGAAATATACATCTCCATATACAATGCAAATATACATCTCCCAGGAATAATGTTGCAGGATCTAATCTAGGTCGGTTACTAGTACCAGAGGTTTTAGTCTTCTGAGCTTTTGGATTTGTGCTGGAGTCCATCTTCAGGGAACTTCTCTCTCACCAGAAAGTTTGGTAGAGATGTTCCCTACATTCTGGTCAGTGGTGGGTTGCTCCCGGTTCGGTCCGGTTCTATAAAACCGGTAGTAAAACCGATGTGAGGCTCCACTCACCTGCCGCAAGGTGATCATGGGTGATCTGCGCATGCGCAGAAGCGCGCACGATCCCGTTGCGAACTGGTAGTACAGGTAAGTGGAACCCATCCCTGATCCTGGTAGAGAGAAATGCCTGAGGATAGGCATCAGGCTAGAAACTGTGAGTTCAAGTCCCGTCTTAGCCATGAAAGCTGGCTGGGTGACTTTGGGCCAGTGATTCTTTCTCAGTCCAACTCACTTCATAGGATTGTTGTGGGAACATAGGAGAAAGAAGGTGTGTTGTATATGTTTGCTACCTCGAATCATTTATTAAAAAAATAATAAAGATAGGAAAAAAATAATTTAAAAAACCCACACAACTGTGTGCCTAAAGTGGGACAATAACACTCTCCTGTTGATGGGTCCAAAGCAGGGGTGAAATCCAGCAGGTTCTGGCAAGTTCTGGAGAACCGGTAGCGGAAATTTTGAGTAGTTCAGAGAACCAGCAAATACCATCTCTGGCTGGTCCCAGAGTGGGGTGGGAATGGGGATTTTGCAGTATCCTTCCCCTGGAGTGGGGTGGAAATGGAGATTTTGCAGTATCCTTCTCCTGCCATGCCCACCAAGCCACGCCTGCCAAGCCACACCATGCCCACAGAACTAGTAGTAAAAGAAATTTGGATTTCACCACTGGTCCAAAGTTATTTAGAGATCCAGTTTAGCACCAGGCTAGAAACTGGGAGACCATAAATTCATAGGAAGAGGAAGGTGTGTTGGATATGTTTGCCGCCTTGAGTTATTTATAAAAATAACAAAGGAAGGGTTGAATTAAATTTTAAAAAGTCATCCAGCCAGCTTTCAGGCCTAAAACAGGACTGGATTTCACACTCTGCTGGTTGCCAGGCCAACATCTTAACTACCACACCAGAAGTAAAATAACCAAATAACTCTCTTGATAGAATCTGAATGTTTCAAACCATTCAGAGATATAGTTGGGCATCCAATGTGAGTAACCAGAGAAAAAGGACCTGGGATACAAGCCCACACAGTTACAAATAGGAAGCAGAAGATTATGACTGGGCAACCTTTGCCCCAGCCTAAACATATAAAGACAGCATAGGGAGGAGCTGTTTGGAGCAGAAAATCTCAGGAGAGGCAGAGGCCTAAACTGATATAAGCAATCTTCTTCCAATGGTTCTGTCCAATGGGGCTCTTTCTTCTAAACTTCTGCAATCAACATATAAATACTGATCACTTCCTTATTTGCCAGAAGTATTTATGTACAGATAGTCCTCAACTTACAATCATTCATTTAGTGACAGTTCGAAGTTACAATGGCACTGAAAAAAGTGACTTTATGACAGGGGTGAAATGCTATCAATTCGGACCAGTTCAGCCGAACTGGTAGCGGCGGTGGCACATGGTTCAGAGAACCAGTAGCAGCGGCAGTGTGAGGCTCTGCCCACCTGCCCAGACGTTGTTACTTCCTGGTTTTAACCAAGAAGTAACCTGTTTTTGACCCTCTGCACATGCACAGAAGGCTTTGTGCATGTGCAGAAGGTCCAAGCGTGCATGTGGAGCACGTCCTTCTAAACTGGTAGGGAAGGTACCTGCTTTATGACCATTTTTCACACGGATGACCACTGCAGCATCCTCACGATCACGTGATTCAAAATTCAGATGGTCAGCAACTGGCATGTATTTATGAGAGTTGCAGTGTCCTGAGGTCATGTGATCACCTTTTGCGACCTTTTGGAAAGCAAGAGAACTCAGTTTCACTTAACAATTGTAGTGATTCACTTAGCAACCGTGGCAAGAAAAGTCATAAAATGGAGCAAAACTCATTTAAACTGTTGCTTAGCAACAGGAATTTTGGCCTTCGTTGTAAACATAAGGGCTACCTGTAGTATTTTTCATTAAAAAATATTCCTAAGGTTGTAATAGAAATATAAATAAAAGCAAGATTAAAATCAGCTCTTTAAAAAGTAAAGAAAGTACATGTCCCCTACACATCTGATCCATACCGGTAGTCCTCATTTAATGAACGGTCATCTAGTGACTGATCATAATTATGATAGACCTCCCCCCCAAAAGGTACCTCTGACTCAAGTTTGAAGTTCTGACAACTGCACCACCACTCAGCAGTCATGTAAGTGCAACTGGGTGAAGCTCACGCTTATAGTCATTTGCAGTGTCCTGCGGTCACTTGACTATGATTTTTCACTTTTTTCCCCTGGTTTCTGACATTTACTGTTGTATATCTGGTTTCCACCAAAAAAAAATAAAATCCATTTGGTGTAATAGATTCATATAATGACTGCCATGTTTATTAAACAACCATGTCATTCACTTAATGACCAATGCAAAAAAAAAATATCATAAAACTAGGCACAGACACAGGGTGACCTGCTTAATAAGTGCTTGTATTTATGGCCTTAATTTCAGGTTCAACTAAGTCATAAATCGAGGACTAGCTGTTCAAAGTACAAACAATTATTTAAAATAATGCAGGAAAACCAATGTAAAAGCATATGTTTTTAAGATGTACAAAGCACTTCAGTGTTAAGCAGACTATATTACAAAAGAAATGGTTTTCTAGAAAATAGGGGCCACCACAAAGAAGGTCTGTTTCCACATTATCACTAATGGGCAATTTGCAAATGTCAGCACAGAGCGCAAGATGTTTCCTAAGCACAGTAGGTTTGTGAGAGGCTGAAATAGTTTAAAATATCCTTTTAATGTTTTCTTATTTTACCCTTTGACCGTGAATTGGCCTTCAGTTTGTTTAATCTCTGACTGCCAATAACCTTGCTATAGAGACATTGTCTCGGACACACAACTCTTGATGCACACAGATTCTCTTCCAACTTCTGGCACATACACATCCTACCCTTAATTCAGATGTGTTTCTTTCCATTGGAGGTTGGGTCAGCAAATGCTTCTCTGAGTAGAGAAACAGAATGAACCCATGATCGCATCTGACTCTGTGTCTCCTCTGACAAATGAAGATTACAAACCAAAAAGAGATCTCAGTTCAAGTCTGTGCACATAAAAGACTAACCCACTATTTGGATTCAAATTCTTCAAACCTGCTTGCTCGTCGACTGTGGTTAAATTATAGTCTGCTGGATTGGGGATATTTTGTTCCATTTCCTTTCCAGGGAACACACTCACCATAGATAGATAAGAAGTAAAGGTAAAGGTTCCCTTCGCACACATGTGCTAGTCATTTCCGACTCTA